ACGTTACTTTTTATAGTATGCTTTTGTTTCTCCACAAAATGCTCCTCCTAAATGCCCCGTTTTCCCCACTAAAATGATCGGTCTTGCTCATAAAAGTCACTAAAATACCCTGATAATGCTCATCGTACAGAGGCTTTTTCTCATTAATTCTAAACATTTTAACGGGGTTTAACGCTAACAAAAAACGTATAAATGGTATAATAACAACATATCCAAGCTAATAGCTTCCTTAAAACCTAGCAAAACCTAAAATTAATCCTCTACTGACTATTTTCTGGAATTTTGAGTTAAAGTCTTCATAAATTTTTTGCGGAAATAATTCTCTATACATATTTGTTTTTCAAAATTGCTAACGTCTTTCCTTACCATCTCAACAGTCTAGAACGAAACAGAAAACCGTTAATTTGTCCTAAGGATCGAAACAACCTAACACGAAACGAGGTAGGTCACACGTGGAACTTGTAATAAGTTTGCTACAGTAATGTTCAAGAAGTTTACATAGTGAAGGGATGAGCAGGGTCTTGGGCAAATGCAACTTCAACATAATTTTAACACGTACTAAAAGGTTGAGGACAACCCTTTCCCTCACGTTTAAAGACCGTAAAAATTTCAAGAAAAAAGCTAATTAACGAAGCCCTATAGCCACATACGGGAGGAGCTTCAAAGCGGTTAACCAGGGAAGCTTCATTGGTCCAAAAAAAAAACCAGCTGAATACAATGTTCACATTATGCGACCCATGGCCAGCGGCCTTTTGGTCGAACGGGGCTAACAGCTGTTCAGGGCTACCATTACCAGAGTGATATGGTTGTGTGCTTGCAAAGGGTACTGGTACTTCTGTTTGTTGTTGTCGCTTTTTTAACGTGGTGTTTTTTTTTTCTGGAGGGCTTTTTCCCCCTTTATTCCTTCTGCTGGCTCTTAATTGAGCCGCGAGGTTTACGATAAATGTATTGACAGTTAATGTCCATCGGTGCTTCTAGACTAGTCACGAGCCCGAACTGCAGTGTATTTATAAAGAGGTCGTTTACTGTACACTACTTCCAAAATTTTGGAAGCATACTGCAATGCCCGAAAAATAACCCTTCCAATGTTAACCGCAAAATGTCAGTGGACTGGAGAACTGAGATCAAAAGATGTAAGTAGTAACGGAAAGTGCATTCGTGTGCTATTATTAACTTCAAATTCCAAACACAGTCCTTTAATATTTATTGGCCAGAACATTACACAACAGACTCAGTTACAGAGGAGTTAATTATTACCAGAAGAAATCTATTTCTGTGAATCAGTTTAACATTAATTGGCCGGAAAAAAAAGTTTCCCGGCTGCCGGGTATTAACATTATTATCATTATTATTATTTGGGGAGCAAAGGATGGCGCAGAGGTGAGAGCGCTCGCCTCCCACCAGTGTGGCGCGGGTTCAAATCCCGGCGTCGACGCCATATGTGGGTTGAGTTTGTTGTTGGTTCTCTCCTTTGCTCCGAGAGGTTTTTCTCCGGGTACTCCGGTTTTCCCCTCTCCTCAAAAAAAATCCAACATTTCCAAATTCCAATTCGACCAGGAATCAGATCCTGTAATTCCGTTTAACCTTGAACCTGGTAGACGAAGAACCACTTTGTGGATGTGCTACCTCAAAAATCATTATTATTATTATTATTATTATTATTATTATTATTATTATTATTATTATTATTATTATTATTATTATTATTAACAAAGCGATAGACAGTCTGTAACAGAAACAACGAAAATGATATTCTTAAACGGGAACAGACAAACAGATATAGCTGAAACGAAATGATAAAATACATCTCCTTTTTAGTATCACTTTTTGGCTTAATTTAACAAATAATTTCAAAATTCTTTCCGTCAATTCTGAGTTTTTTCAAAAGCACGTTTTGTGGAACTCATTAAACCAGGCATTAAAAAACTTTTGACAAGCGCTAAAGGTTAATTTTGAAGATTATTTCTTTTGAATTACTAAATATCTTTTTCCTATTTCTTGTTCTCTAAAGGATCACTTAGCATCGTGCCTTTTCAAGTCTGTTTCTTGTACCAACAAAAACTGTGACGTGAAACTAACAAGGAATACCTTACAAGAACACGTGACCATGTCGTGTCCATGGAGGATTGTTAGCTGCCAATACTGCTTATTTTCGACCCATTCAGCCTGTAAAACCGATGTAAGATAAGTGCACATTTGTTTTAATATCCGTGACAAACAGACAATCGAAAAAGTAATTATGATATATGTAGTCTATTATATTGGTATTTCAATGTTTTAAGTGAATCAATTCAAATACACACATTTTATGCCATAATCGTGTAGTTTAGCTTTCTTGTTCCGTTTTTTAGACAGATTTTGTATAAGAGCGGTCCCTACAACCTAGCTGATGTGTCACTGCTTTGCTATGAATATAGCAGAACCTAATAAAACTGCCCGTTCCCAAACCAAACCACCCCCAAATCATCTTTACCTGTCTATTATACGCTAAGGTATCAGTATAAACGCAAATTTATTGATTTTGATCCTTGTCACTCCACAAGTCAGGCTCCCCTAATTAATAGCCGTGTTAAAAGAGTCAGGACGCCGTGAAACTTTCATTGGACACTTTTTTCCCCATGATCAATAATACTGAGCTCTGAAAGAGTTAAACTCGTTAATAATTTCGACTGACTATCAAGAGGGACAGAGTCATTTAGGTGTAAATGTATTGTAATAAAATTTTGATTATTAAAGTAACATGCTAATATCACATTTACAGTTTTTAAACGCTTTGTCTTTTAACCTGATGCATTGTTTAAAGATTCATCAGAGTAAATGCAGAAGATTTCCATTAGATTGCCCTGAGAGCTGTGGAGCTGTCATACCGAGAGGGAAGGTAAGGTTGTAGCCACAAAGATCTCGTCTGACATGTGGCCCGTATAACACAACTTCAATTTAGTCTGTCGCCAGTTATTGATTTTCGATGGATATTTATTTACCTAACTGATAATACAATTATAAAGAAATTATATCATTTTCTCCAAAATTATGTGCTTGCTCACTAAGCTGGACTTTTCAACTAATTATATCGTATTTCTCGGTTTTTTACAGATTTTATTCCACATTAAGGAACAATGTCCTCTGACATTAATTCCCTGCCCGTATGCTCAGATAGGCTGCACTACAAAGGTAATACTTTTCACGACGTACTTAAGTTGTCAATAACCTAAGTAACGTGTGAAAAGGACAAATAGAGAGATTACAGCCTTGTGACAAACAAATATGTCCCCTGGGTGTTGGACTTAAAGTTACAAACAACAAATTTAAACTTTGAAAAACTGTGCATGCTTGGCTGAACAGTTTTCAAAAACTCCAGTTTTAACCCGTTTTAAGGTGTTTCCATACAGTTTCTCGGAGACCACACCGATTTTTTTCAGTCGCCTTAAAAGTGATTTTATCCTTGTGCGATCGCCACAAAATTTTTACCAGTGATTGACTATGAATTGAAATTTGTCAAAATGCAGTTTTTAGTAAAATCGATATCACTATGACAACAATAAACAAAAAATTTTGAAATCGATAAAATCCAAATTTCGCGTGATTTTGACCTGCCAGTGAAAACCCAACACCAGGAACTTAAAGAGTGATGTTTAGCAAATAACCTCCGTGAGAAGTAAAAAAGTTCTGTATGTTTTAATTTTTCAATAGTCGTGATAAATTGTTTGATAAAAAAGTTCTAAATAACTCAAATGAATCTTAAGTAACGTCAGAAGGCTACTTTATATTAGATTTCAATGCATGGAAATTTTTATGTATCTTCTTTCTTGTGATTCTGAAAATTAACCTGTTTTCTCACCACCGGCCTAAATTTCAGACTATTACTTCGAGTAGTTTTTTACTCCCTCAGTAACGTCTGAATAAACCGGCCGTTAGTGCCGTGCAGTGACGTCACACCCGAACACCGGGTAGTGATTTGATGGGTTGGTTGTCCAAACATTTTCATAATTAAGTATGATTATGAGAAATTTTAGCGGGATTGTCGTTTGATATTCGGCTGATCGCATGCCTGGCATACTTGCGTGGAGTTCAAAAATTTCGACTGATCCTTATCGTAAACAGCAAAATAATAAATTGCCCTTGTCTTCGAAATTATGAATTGTTAAACTGAACTATGAATGAAGAATCATTGCGCAGAGTCGATAGGTTTTTCATTTAGAGCCGCCTTGTGCACGGTTTGAGCAGTGACTTTGTTACAATTCGACCTTCTTGTCATTTCCACCGTCAAGTGTAACGATTCTGTTAGCTTTTCTTTCTTCTTCGTTAAGGACCAGTTAGCTTCTTTTAAATTAAAGCAAACTGTTGTATTTTTGAAGTGCTCCATGTGTGCATTTATTTCATTGCGTGACTGCAATCGAGTTTGATTCTGGTTATCGCATGCAGTGATGCAGCTGACAGTTTAAATGTTAAACATGAATTACAATCACTGAAAAGAGTAAACCAATTCTGTATCATGTAGACTATTTTTCCAGACATTTCTTTGTTTGCCAGTTGAAAATCGTGTTTTACTATTGCATGAATTAAAGCAAAGGAGTATTGACGTCACTGGACGGCATAAACGGTCGGTTTATTCAGACATTAGAGTGAAAACGACTCGAAGAAATCGTCTGAAATTCAGGCCACATTTTAAATTCCTGGTGTCGGATTTTCAGAAGCAGGAGGTCTAGATTGCGCGAAATTCGGATTTTATCGATTTCAAAGTTTTTTGTTTATTGCTGTCATAGTGATATTGATTTTACTAAAAACTGCATTTTAACGTACTTTAAGTCTTACTTAATCACTGGTGAAAATTTTGTGGCGATCGGACAAGGATAAAATCACTTTTATGGCGATTGAAAAACATCGGTGAGGTCACCGAAAAACTGTATCGAAACACCTTAACAAAGGATCTGTTCGATTGATCGTACTCCAGAGTAAGAATCAGCAGACATTTGTGAAAAATCTCTTCAACCGCAAATTTTTGGACCATTCGAATGCCACGACATCCATCTTTATTATTAATGTCCACCAGATTTCTGTATTTTTTCGTGTAATAAAAGCCAAAACAAGTGATTTTTATTCCTTCTTTTTCTTTATTCTCTAAAATGGTCAATCGAATGGCCCTACATAACCCAATACTGTTAACTGAAGTTTTTTTCGACCTTGTTTCAATTTAACCGACTGCCGATTTGTTTTTTCAGATTAAAAGAGGAGAAGTCGAATCTCACCTGCAATCTACACTGAAAATGCACCTTGACATAGCTTGTGTGGAGTTGGGTAATACCCAGAGGGAGTTGGCGAAGACCAAAGGACAACTTGAAGATAAGTTTGTGAGATCTCAGCAAGAGTTCAAAGAGATCTCAAGGAAACTTGAGGGAAAGATAAATAATCTAACAAGAAAACTTGAGGTTAAGATTGATGGTATCGAGAAATTGGTGCTATCTTCAGATGAACAAAATTATTTCAGTTGGAAAGTCAGTGGCTTCAGCAAAGCCTTGAAGAAAGCTAAACATGGGGAAAAAACATCAATTCTAAGTGATCCATTTTTCAGATTTGCTTACAAATTTAGGTTAGTTTTGGATCCAAATGGTTACGGCATGGGAGAAAATACACACCTGTCGATATTCGTCTTTGTCATGAAAAGTGAATATGATGCCATATTATCCTGGCCATTGAATACTACAATCACTTTTAGGTTGATTGACCAACAAGAAGACGCAAATGACAGGGAAAACATCGTGAAGTCCTTGAGAATAGCTAAACATTTGAGGTGCTTTGCGAGGCCTATGACAGATGGCTACAAAGGGCGTGGCTTAACAACATTTGTATTGCACAAAAAACTAAAAGAAAGGCGCTATATTCTGAACGATTCTATCTTAATTCAGGTTCAACTAACCCCACCACAATAGCCGTTATTCAATCTGCCACAAAAAGGCGTGCTTTAGAGAAATGACCAAGGCTTTGCTTCTTTGGGAGAATCCGAGAGTTGACTGACTTATGATATCAGATTCTTTGGATTCGTTACAAGAACTCCCCTCCACCCGAAAAAAAATTCGTAAGAGATTGTTTAGCGTGCCAGCACTATTTGCACGAACCGGCAAAAAGAAGGGTGGTCTCCTATTTTCACAGAACTTGTCAGGTAGACTTTGTTGGATTTTGCGCCCAAAGGAGGGACGGATTTATGCCCCCCCCAAACAGATTTAGATTCAGGTTCGGATTCAGTATTTTTCTTTGGAGGAGTTGCACCACGAAGGAATGGCCACGTAACTGACTGGTGACGTAAGCAAAATTTAAAGCCGAATACGAAGAAAAAAGCTTTTGACTAGGCAATAATATAATGTGAACTGCTGAGAATACACATCAAAGGATATAGCAGATTTTGTATAACTGTATCAGAAAGCAGTAGGTCATCTCAGGGGGGAGGGGATGCGCACCCCTTGCACCCCCCGTAGATCCGCCCCTGAGATAGAATACAGTGTTTTCGGCGTGTGAATTCTTTCGATTGAAAACTCGTTCTTGGAAAGCAAAAAAGAAAAGTCTGTTTTGGAGTCAAGAATCCAGAGTCAGAGTTGGATGTAATTTCTTTTTGAGCGTATTTCAGTTAGAACAAAGATAAAACAATGCACTGTACATTTTCAAGATTGTTAAAGCTAATAATCATACAGTGAGAAGGCGAAAATTGTAACTATGTTCATATTTGATTTGACTTAATTAAGTTTGTAGATGAGTCAATTGATCTGGAGACTAAACAAAACTAAAGTATTATTTTGTATGACATAAATTTCTAAATTGAGATTATTTTTGCATCGTACATGTCCTAATTTATTCGGATTTTGATTAATTTGAGCATGGTTAGCACAACTTTTGATGTGATAGAAAATAGACTTTTTTAATACCTTGCATGACTTTAGAAGTCTATAAGACGGAGTGAGTAGCAAACACAATATAAATGAACGTATTCGTGCAAGAAAGGATAAAGGGGCTTTTTTTATCCTCTCTCGATTCGTGTCACTGTGTTCTCGGTCTTTATAAATCGATGTTTCTACGAATTAAAGTGTTTTAAAAAGTACAGTCTAACACTTACTGATCTTTTTTCATACACTGCAGTACAGCAGCACACATGAAGTGCATGCAAATTTTATTTTCTTTGGAAAGCGTTATTTACACTTTATGAGCGTACTCTAAATCATCCTTCAAATAATTACTCCTCAAGAAAAAAGCCCTTCAAGAAAAGCATTAGTTAAAATTAGACTAAGTAGTCATCAACTTAGAATTGAAACAGGTAGATACGAAAAAAACCCTCACAATGAAAGGATATGTTCCTTTTGTAACAGTAACGAAATTAAAGATGAAAAAGATTTCCTAATAGATTGTAAGGCCTATTCTCAGATTAGAGACGTGTTTTTCTCTAAAATAGGAACTAAAATTCCAGATTTGAAATCACTTTCACACGATATATACTTTATCCTCTCTTGATCTTATGAATTCTTCTAATTATTTAATTAACTGCGATTAGTTTTATTTATCTTGCAATGCTTTGAATTAAGAAACAAATTAATATCAATGAATGGATGAGAACTGTAATGTACAGGAGAAATTTCTGCTATGTGATTGGCTTAGAGCAGTGGTATTTCAGCTTAATTTGAAATACCTACATGTGAAAATTACAAACCTTTTGCGGGTAGTAGTATAAACAAATAATAGCAGGATTTGTACGCGATATTTGGCATAAATACCACTCGTGATATTTCAAAATTATTTATTTATGCCAAATATCACTACAAATCATGCTTTTACCTATACAAATTTCACTAGTACCTTTTGCAATACTGTAATACCTTTATGGTCATGCAAATAAAGCTTTTGTTGTTGTTCAGTTGTTGTCGCAACGCTGTGGCGCTGAAAGTTTCTTTTTTTAGGATTGTTTGCTCCGAGCTTAGAATTCTGATTACATGAACAACTTTCTGCCCTGCTCTAACCGTTTTACATGTAAGTACTTTTTCATCAGATACTTAAGCAATAGACCACACTTTCTATGGGTATACCGGCGTAATAATTCACGCGGGATGTTGGGAGAACACGAGAAAAGACAAGCTTTTCGAGTGTTCTCCCAACATCCCAAGTATGTTACCACGCCGGTAAACCCATGGAAAGTGTGTTCTATTGCTTCTATAAAATAACTTTAAGTTTCCTATTAGTTTACCGGCACAAAAAACCATAGGTTTTTAACCAATCAGAACGCGCGTACTATCTTTAGTTAGTTATTTTATATAAAGATACACCGTTTCCCTGTACGGTTAAATTGCCCGTACTACCCGTAGACGTAAATACGGATCGATAAGCTTAGATTACCTCTTACCCCAGCGAAACGGATAAGCTAGTGATTAAAACGACGATGCCATTACCAACTATCAAGAATCATGCATGGTCGCCTTTTAAAAAACTACAGTCGAACCTGTCTAATACGGACACCGAAGGGACAGAGCTAAGTGTCCGTATTAGAGAGGCGTCCGTATAAAAGAGATTACTACTACGACGCCACTTTTATAATTCCACTTACAGTTTTACATGTTCAGTAGCTAAAACCAGGCTCACACTCGTCTTAAGACTCCATTTTAATTCACAGTACAATGACACTCTCTTTCAGTAGCACACAACTTTATACATCTCAGCTACAAAGTAATTGCAGTCGTAGACAAATCACTGTTTTAAAACGAAGCGAGCTACAGCGCAATGCGCATGTAAAAAGTTTTAAAGTAAAGCACAATTCTGAAAGCGTCTTTAGCTATTTTACAAGTGCAGTAAACAGTAAATAGAGTACAAAATGTAAAAGAAAAGATCTTAATGCTATCTGTAGTTATTCAAGCCTTAAAAAATCGGTTATGTTTCTCTGTACTCCTTTCGCATCTCGTTATTTGATATACAGCAACTGAGCTTTTGAAATCACCTTGCAGAGCTCATCAGTCAGACGGGATTCACCCTGTGCAGATTCACCTGATTGGGATCGAGATTCATCTGATCACTGCAGTGTTCGTAATCATGATAAAGAGGTTAAGTTTATACGAATTTACTCTATGGGGCCGAGATTTAGTGTCCGTTGTCCGTAAATAGAAAGAGTCCGTACTAAAGACTTTTTTTTAGAGAAAATATATGAGAATTTTGTTGGGACATTGGAAACTGTCCGTAATATAGAGGTGTCCGTTTTAAAGAGGTGTCCGTACCGAGAGGTTCGACGCTACGTGGCAAACATGTTCGCCTACTTGTATCCCTAGAGAGAAACGATGTATCTAAAGCTCCCTCATTGTCGTCTGTTTTTTATCTATGAAAATTTTCCATGAGTAGCCGGCGAACAGCAGACGTATTTCAGGTCGTCGCTTTACTCCATCCGGTTCATTTCTCGGCGGGTGAAACCAGAAACAAAAGCGGAAAACACCGGAGAAAAACTAACACCAAAGCCAGGATTCGAGCCAGGACTCCAGTTAGGACTTTTCTAATCTTTCTGTAAGCAAAAAATGAATAAATAAAAATAAATAATAAGCAAAAGTAAAAGAAAAGAAAAAAAAAAGGACGCCTAACCTAACTCGTAACCTCCTAACCCCAACCCTAACCTTACCCAAAGATAATCCTAACCAGGGTTTTCCCTTACGCGCAAATACGCGTCAGAGACGCGTTGTTTACCCGAAAAAGAAAAAGAAAAAAACGCAAAACACCAAAGAGAACCGGTCCTCTCGGACGCACATGTTGTAGAGCAATAGTTTACTAATAATTAGTTTAAAACTGCGTAGATCTGCAAAACATCTTTTTTGAGAATAAAATGTACAAACTTTTGAATCTCCTTCTTTTGTCTGATTCCTTTTTTAAATCTAAAAAGAGCCATACTCACTTGGAATGGTCCTCAAGCTTGCTTTTTTGATGTTCCGATCGCGAAACTACATTGAAACTCCGTGCAGAGGCTTTGGAACTAATGTTTCATTGTGAGGTATTCTGGGACTTTCTGGGACTGGAAGAAAGTGAGTTGAAAAAACATGGCGGATTCGGAAACACAGCCCCGTGAGCCCGTTAAGTAAAAGAGGCATTTTCTGCCTGCTTGGTTGAAAGAATTTACATGGTTGCGATATCTGTAAGTCAACAGGTAAGAGAAACCCTTTCACAACTACAAGCTGTAACAATCTTCAGAAGTCGGCCCTGGAAAGGCACCAAGATACTAAAGATCACATTTGAGTAGCAGTGACCTCAAGCTTTCAAAAAGCTGTCAGGCGACAGTCTCAAATGCGAAGAAGAATATAGACAATCAAACCCTGGAAAGTACAAGGAGGTACATTGATCAGCATAAAACAGTGTATCTTATGACTAAGAAAAACATTGCTGCTGATCACTTTATTCGAATAATTGGAACCTCAGGCTGCGAACGGTTGTAGTGATGATTCTGTTTTTACAAGAAACCCGAAGAAGGTTTCAGAGATTTCCTGGAATTTGAAACAATGCTAACCTTAGGACTCCTACTGTTCCCTATGGGACCCTCACCCTTTGGTTAAAGGAGTCTTCGGGACTCCAAAAGAAAAGTATCGAGGGAAAACCCTGAATAATCCTAACCCTAACCCTAGCTTAACCCTAACCCTAACTGTAACCTCACCCTAACCCTAACCTAACTAACCCTAACCCTTACTCGAGCTTTCTTTCCATGATTGCCACGAAGACCCTCCTCTTAATGGTCATGGGACTTGCAGGACGTGAAAATGGCGGGAAAGCGAAAAATTGTCGAGTCCTGGCTAGGTATATAGGCATCCTCAAAAAACCGGATGCTCTCGCAGGCTATTCCGTGAGGAAATATCAAACAACAATCCAAGAGGCCGCGATGATAAGATTTTTTGTTATATAATAGATAGGCCTTACTATTTTTGACCCCTAAATAACAATCACTTAAATCCCCATACAAACCCTTATAATATTTCTGTTATGCAACGAATCTCACTCGTGAACTTGGGGAATCGTGGTACAAATCGCAAACTGAGCAAGGAATGTTTCATGCTAAGTGACGCGGCCAGACATATATTTTTACATAGGGTCTTTATGGAGATCTGCTCAAGTAGCCTGTGTACAGACCCCTCTTTCCCCCCAGGGGAGGGGGGTCTGTACATAGGCTATATATGCTAAAGAAAATTGATGGGAAACTGATGGAATTGATTATTTGTCAGACGTTTTTACCCTTGTGAAGTTTAATACTTCTTGTTGCACCTACCACGAAAGCTTAGAAGGCACAAGACGAATCTTCGAACAACTTTGTCGCAAGAAAGATTGAATCACTACAACGTTCACAAGGAAATGACTGACAAATTGAACACGGCAGATTTTGGAAATCAGTTTTTTTTCAGCATTAAATGACAGGCAAAATCGATTTTGAAAATTCGATGTCAATTAATAATTTCTCAAACCATTTATTCAACGCTAAAACAAAGTGACAAGTGATAATTTTCTCCGAAAGTGCTCTTGGTTTTTGGCCATCTTAGTTTTCAAAGGAATAACACACAAACTGCGGTTACAAACATCAGAAATAACAAACGCATTGTATAACTGACTTTTATAATACCGAACTTGACGTTTCGTATGCTTCAACATACATCTTTAGAAGTGACCGTTAACAAGAGTGGCAACTAAATTTAAATTAAAAAAAACAAAACAAAGTGGGACAACTAACTAATTCACGTGAACGAAAAAAAATATATGTAACAGATGAGAAAATTTGCATGAAATCAGTATGCAGAATGGGTATCTGATTTTCTCTTGAAGAGATGTCAAAATGGTCCCATTTCAAATTGTGACCAGTTGAAGTCAGTGAAGTGAGGTGTTCTGCAATAGCTGATGAATGACCATTGCTAGTGATTGCCTTGAAGTGTTCAGTTTTTCTGTAATGCAATCTCCGTTTGGTTTTGCCAATGTAGAAATCCTGACAGTCCCAGCAACTAGCTTTCTACGAGTATACATCCTCGGAGAGACCCAGGGGCAGTCAGTCGGGTCGGGAGAAAAGGCGGGACGAAAGTTTTCAAGTACGGGCGAAAGAGCCCCTGGGTCCCGTCTCTAACCGAACCATTTCCTAAAATTTAAGCGGATGCCGGCTCCTGATTGGGCACCAAAAAATGCTTTGTGTTATTGTGCCCAATCGGCGAACAGTTTCTCCTGAGTTCTTTTCGTGAGTTCGTACACGACGGCTGTTGTCTCGCCACAGTTGCCCGGTTTGTTCACCAAGCTCAGTGTGCGTGCAAGGGAAACTTTTATTTTCTACTTTCCTAACCAGAAACGAAGGAACTACCGATGAGTCGCAAAAACGTTTGGGATGCTATCAATCAGCAGGAGCAATTCAGTTAACCCCGAGAATATTCTGTTTTTGACGGATCACAACGTATCGTAAATAATTGGAAGTTAGGAATGTGGCGGCGACGAGAAAGTCAAATAAGCAATAGCTTGACAAGGCAAAACAACAACTTTGCACGTGCATCACACTTTTTTGTACATTTCTTTGCCGTCCACTGCACGATTATCCGTGAAAATGGCTTATTTCACGTTTTGTGAAGGACGTAAACTAGCAATGACGAAATTCATTCTCTTCATGAACTTGGATATGGTTGATGGAAATTCAGCTCCAGGAGTGTTCTCTTGCATTTGACAAAGTAAGCGAGTTGGAATAATCTCTATAGAGACTGGAAAAATATGAATTCACTTTTCCATGCGACGTTTTCGTGGCTGTACGTCAGCCGTCGTAGTATCTTTTAAAACTCCCTAATAGCCCCAAGACGTGACCGATGCAGGCGTGAATACCTTTTGTAAGCTCAAACTTGTATGTTTGGAAGAGCGTCTTTAGTTTTCTGGCAGACAATATTTCGAAATCAGATGGGGATTTGACATCAAACTGAAAGTTTCCTGACTGCGTGCATCTCTTTGATGCATGATCCAGACAAGCCGTGATCGCGGCAATAGTAGTCATGTACGAACTCACGAAAAGAACTCAGGAGAGACTGTTCGCTGATTGGGCACAATAATACAAATCATTTTTTGTGCCCAATCAGGAGCCGGCATCAGCTTGAATGTTTGGAAATAGTTCGGTGAGAGTCGGTACCCAGGGGCTCTTTCACCCCTACTGTACGGGCATGTGAAAACTTTCGTCCCGTCTTTTCTCCCGACCCGACTGACTGCCCCTGGGTCTCCGAGGATGGTGGCAGGGCAGCATCTGGTGAAAACATGTAAGCAGAAAGCATATTTTCAAATGAGACTTTGTTCAAGTATTGCTTCTCAATGCCGAGGGAAAAATACTTTTTGTCATAAAACTTCAAACTTCAAAGCAACAAGATACTTCCAAATTTCGTTCTGCCATCCTTCACTGAAGAAATGCACCCATCAAAAATGTGGGAAACTCATCCAAATGACTACTGGGTATTTTCCAAGATGGTGGACCTCTTATTACTCATTCCCAGGTCCTACACTTTCCAAGATGCCGGCTGAGTCAATTTCCCACCCTGGGGACGTTCAGGATGTCAAATTCCCTACCCACGTGCACTTCATTAAGTCTAATTCCCGTGGGTTGCCCGCCCCCACCCCCCCAACCCCAGCCTGGGGCAAACCATTCAGGTGCATAAAACACGAACAAAAATGCAAAAACGCATTGCAGGTTATGAGTCTCGCTGCTTACGCAAGCGAGACTAATAATCTGCCAGAAAAACAACTGAAAAGAGCGTGGAAACGACATTGGGAAGGCTCACGCAAATGCAATGGCGGAAGTTCCAGTTAACCGGCCTGTACCTTGTGGTTATGACGAGCAATTTGTTGATCCGCCTGATGAAGACCTGCAATGCATAATATGTTATTTACCGTCGAGAGAACCAGTTCTTACGAGATGTGGTCACAAGTTCTGCGGTCAGTGTCTGGAGGAACACGTGCGGAGGTATTGATAGTGTAAAGTTAATCTGAATTTAAAATTTTTGTTATCATGCCTAGTGTATTGTATTTCATGTTGCATTACATCATTATCTGTACTGTCGTGCCTGTTGTACTTGTACAAGTACATTCTCTCAAGTGTCTAGAAAACGAAGACTTAGAAAACGGTTACCTAGAAAACGAAGACTTAGAAAACGCAGCTCTGCTATACTCGTCATAATCGCATCTACTCTCAAATACTTAATCATCGATCCCGAACGACACATCTTTAACCTAAATAACATGTGTTAAAAACATTTTACTTTTGATATAAAACTGAAATACAATTTTAGCCACAATTAACTATGGAACATGTAGGATTCTATATAACTGCAGCTTGCTGTGATAAAAATTGGTGAGCGAAAGACGCTATTGCGTACGAAATGAGCGTAGTAATTTATGACCACAGGGTAGTTATAAAGATAGCGTAGTGGCTAAACCGGCAAAGTTAGTGGTCAAAACGTGCGAACTTGTATTGTAATTTGAATATATAACAACAAACACGAATAAAAGACCACCATAAAAGCCGAAAACAGCAGTTCGGGAGAATTGGCAGTGATTCTGAAAGAAGAGAAGCTGATGTCGGCGTAGAATAATGGGAACGTTTATTTTTTTTAACTCATGTGTATTTAATGACAGAAAAGTGTTTTTAGTGCCGCCGGCGCTGATGAGTCATGGTGAGTAAACGAAAATTTTGTGTTTTAACTGGCCTCCCACGCGGACGTTCTTGGGGGTTTGTCCAGCGTCTCGTGCTGTTTTAAGGTAACTCGACCCAGTTTTTTTGGGGGGGTACCATCCTACTTTGAAGCTCTCTGGTATCCCCACTTTTACTTTTATCGTAAGTCTAACACATAGAATGGATAACATATAGATCAATCTATAGTATAAAATAAAATTTTGGGCGATCGGTGTAAATGTCACATGGTTGTAATGCCACGCCCCTTTGAGGTCTGAGTCGAAAATCTGCTGTTGCCGGCATTTTTTCGTGAAAATCTCTCGGCTACACATAGTGCGCATTAGTGCCTTGCGCTGAACAGAGTTTCACCAAAATCGCAAAGACCCAATTCAAGAAATTCAGCGGTTTCCAAATTTAGGTCATAATTTATACGAAAATGATAAGCAAACTTTACTCGATTATATCCAATAAACTATGAGATTCATCCCTTTATTTTGGGCATCGTTATAACAGATGGGTCCTTGCAAGTCAGCAAAACGCGTTAGGGCCTTGTAAATGCGCGCGATTTCGAGCAAAACAAACATATAGAAATTATAGTTTTCGCTATTTGTTGACGTTTGTCAGCGTTTAAGAGTCCTTCTCACGAAAAAAGCATCTTCTTAAAAATTCGTAGTTTTTTTTCCTTCAATTTTTTTCAGGGCCACAATTGATTAACTAACTATCCGGACTCTGAATTTCATGGTCGTTGAAAAGTTGTGATATTATCTTCTATAAGCCCAAACTTGAGTAAACATTGAAGATTTTTAGCGTTTTGGCTGAGTTTGTGCTTGGGAGTTGTCTATTGTTTCTAGTCTGTCATGATACAGCATTCTTGTTCAGCACGCGCGCAATGACCACGCTTGGCTGACTTCCGAATGCTCACCGAGATATGATAATTTTGGTACAGTGAGACAGGCCATCGCGTGATACATAGAGCCCCTGCTCTGTGTATTGTCGATCAATAGCATTCTTGCTCGTTGTGTATCTCTTTGAAATATACCGATTCATAAGGAAGATTTTCACACATATTCCATACAATAGGTAAGATAAATACAGGAAACGCAAGGTTCCATGCACAGTTTCAGTTCGATTTACACAGCTTTGAGCAAAACATTCTCGGTTTCGAGAATAGTTTATTCTAAACCATAAAAAAAGATTTAATTAGAAGTTTAATTTTTCGATATTTCTATTTCACTTTTTACATTTAGTTCATTTCATTTGCCGGAAAGGAAGCCTTAGAAATTAAAAGGACGTTTGATCAATTCACACTCGCGCATTCTAGTCTTATTTTAAACTTTATAGCGGAAGGACATCTGTGAGCAGGGAATAAGTCAGTACAGAATTTGATTGTCGGCGAATTTCTGTAATCGTCCATCGTTCTACTAGTGAGAAGCTAGCCGTTGTTCACTCGTCTTGCTTGTTTGGGGCTGAGTCTTCTTCCGGTGAAAGAGAGAGAAAGAGTGTCTAGCAAGGTTTCCAATGAAAGATTTGTGAACACAACTCGTGTCTGGCAAACTCTCCAAGTGTTTATACATACAGAGTTATAGGCACCTTGTAACTTCTTCTGCGCTTAACGAGTGTCGTTAAAGTTTTGGTCCATAACTTTCACTGAAACAACTGCTCCACAGAATGTCACTGATAACACGTAACGCAAAAGAGTGTCGAAGTATGACTGCACAATAAATGTTACAAAATCTACCTAAGCGGTCCCTTGGGGATGTTCTGTCTTTACGTCATCCTAACCATTTCGTACTTGCGGGCGCAAACAATAGAAACGTCATCATTACCTACCGATTCTTCGCGGCCCCTGTTTAAGGAAATCGAGATTTTTTCTATATTGACTGTATAACTGTATATTTCAACTGTAAGTACTTTCCTTAATATACGCGCGAGTTACTTGAGTGCCTCCTCGGGATTTCGCCTCCTGGTCGAAATCCCGGCGGGGGCAAGACTCAAGACCCTGTAAACCATACCCTGTTCAGCGGAATATACCCGTATAGGCCAAATAAGGGAGTGCCCCCGGGTCAACAACGGCCCCAAAAGGGGCTGTTTACATGGAGGGAGGAAGATTCTAACACTAAGAAGATTCTAGAGTGTTCTAGAAGGCGGATCATCCTTATTAAACTAGCGCCATATGTTTTCAATTCTGTATTCAGTTTACATGCAGAAAGTTGTTCTTGTTCCTAGCGCTAGGACCGCTAGGATCCTCCTCCCCCCATGTAAACAGCCCTAACAGAGGATGGTCTTCTGCTAGCCTGTTGAACAGACCTTTGGTCGAGTGGGGAACTATTTTTTTCCCCACACAGAGATCCTGTTCACAGGCTAGTCTTCTGCCTGTGGTTTCAGAGGTTGAAATTTACAAAGACTTTAGAACCTTTTCAAAACAATAGATTTTTTTTCTTCAGATATAAACGGATAGAAATTAACCGTCAGCCGTGGAGAAGTTCAGAAAATATTACTTAAAAAACCGTATAAAATGTTACAACCCTATGAAGACCATTCGGTTAAGGATGCTAAAGGTGGATTTCAATCCAAGGAATTTCTACTTCCTCAAAGGTTTATCATGAAAAACGTCACTGTAATTTTCGAGTTATGGACACGACAACAACGGTTTGCGTTGGAAAGTATTATTGAAGTTGTAGATTTCAGATCAGATTGATGTTTAAGGTTACGTTCGCACGGCAACGGTTGAAACATTTGACCGGACACTTTGTTCACATGGAACTTTGAACGGCTTGGCTTCTTAGGGGGTGCCTTACATGAGAAAACTCGCTCCGGCGCGAGTTTCATATCGGGATGACTTTTTTATTTCGTATCGCGTTTACATGATGACTGGGTCATTTCATATCTCGTTATTGGAAGGTACGCTTCATGTTGATAACATACACGTAAGATTCAAAATCGCAAACATTACGCATGCGTTACCCGTTCCAGTCTACCAGCAGACCGATTTCACACGGAAACGTGTGGTCGTTTCGCGTTTACATGATACCGTTGCGAGATTTCGTACCGGAGTGAAATTCTCGCCCCGGTACAACAACCGGGGTGAACTCACGCCGGTTTGACTCGCGCCGGCATGACATTTTGTGGTGGTATCATGTAAACAAATGTAGAGCCACGAGAGGGAACCGGAGTGAACTCGCGCCGTCACGAAGGTCGCCCCGGTGTCATGTTAACACCCCCTTAATTTCCTTCCTGCTAAGATGGTTTCATGTGAACGGAACACCTCAACGCACGAATTTTCCACCAATCCAAAGTTTTTCTCGTACCGTGTGAACTAAGCTAAACATGAATTGTATTTCTGCATGCGTAATAAGCAGTGAATTCACACGCAAGGATCGGGAAGTAATGAAATTTCTGTCAGCCCAGTTTCCTTGAATTTGATATATATTTCTTCATAGCTATTTTATCCATTCAAAGATTTTTCAGTCAGTGTTCAGCCTGGCAAATACAGAGAAGTTAAGGTGAAAAATTAACCGCTCATTTGTATGAATGCAGGAATGCAGATTTGAAGTTTGATACCAGTTGCGGTAGACATATTTTGAGCTAACTTGAATAAAGCACGTTGAAAGAAGTGCTGGTCGTCATTTAGCCTCCAGGGTGAGCCTTTGATTGTGGCCTCCTCTTGTCTGTAAGGAGACCGCTCGTTCATAGGTTATGAAACAAGACGCAAAAAACAGTTATTCTTTAATTTTCAGTTAAACTGTAATTAAATTGAACTACCGCATAGGCACAGGGTCCAGAGGAGTTTCGTGTGAATAAATGAATTAATTATTTAAAGTCTCACCTTGAAAAATGTCTATACCTGTCGCTTAGCATGATTAAATAGCCCAATGGGATCTTAATGAATCTACTGTAAACGATTTCTTCGCTTCTTGTCTGACCAGATCGACTTTGTTGTTCGCCATTTTGAAAATCAATAACCGCAAGCCATATCCTCGCTGGCACACGGAACGTCGCCCGAAGGGTGACCGAAGGCTGTCGCCCGAAGGGCGACCAAGGCACGAAGTGCCGAGTAAAATTTTATACTGTAAGCCGATCTTGCGAGCCCTCAGTCTCTTGGATTGTGGTCCATAGAATGTGTAACGAAACTGTAACGCGATCAAAATAACCCATTTTTTCAGAGGTTTTCGACGGGTTTTGATGTTCTAACGACAAACCCATCTCCTCTGGACCCTGTGCATAGGTTGTCGAAACGTCAGTCACTGTCAACAACAACAGTCCTATTCAGGACTACGTTCACCCGGACGATCAAACTCAACCTACTTTTGAAATGACTCCCTGGTTCAAACCTTTCACAGTTCAACTTTGTTTTCTAGGTCGTTGTTTTGCAGGCCTTCGTTTTGTAGTTCGTCGTTTTATGGGTGGAAGGTCTTTGTTTTCTAGGTCGTTTTTTTCTAGATACCGTCAGATGATTGATAATTATCGACTTTGCGGTGGTTTTAATGGTGTTACCACGGCGGCTGATCAGTGTTGCCCCAAACCAGACCTGTGGGAGTTGAACCTTTTTTCTTTTGTAAAATACTTCTTTTGTTCCAATAAATTTGCTTAGCTGCTGGCCACGTTAGTAGAAACGCTCTATACCTAATTTACTATTGAGAAAGAATTTCTAGCGAGTTTTTCTAGATTAACACAAGGCAAATATGGGTTTCACGAGTCATTGTGTTCAGTATATCGCACTATTTCCCGGCGCCCTATTCTGCGGAACCTTTGCTCTTCTTATTTCATGTATATTTTCTTTCAGTACTTTCTCTTTCAGCCGAAAGAATCCTGAGTGTGGGCGGGAGCTGTGATCTATTTTTTTTTTTTTGAAGGAAGGTGACCTACTTGCCAGGCTTTTGATCGTGAGTCGTGAATCAAATTATTCTCAAATGAAAACAAACACTTCAGCTACAAGCTGACGGCTTTTGGGGATCTTTATGAATTATAGTCTTGGAAAATCTCAAAGCAAACGTTTGCAGACATGTGTTGCTATTTCCAAGCCCCCTCACGCTTTTTAGTTATTTGTTGTTGTGGTTGGCACCTCGGCTGCCCTTTCGACGCCCTTTAACTTCTGTTATTTCAGGAACAATCCTGTGATATCGCCGGCAAGACAATAAGCTCATTACTAAAAATATATTAATATTAAAGGCAGGAGCTAGGGGGAAGTCCGCTGACATGTCCAGCAGATAGAGAAGCCTTGGAAAGAAACAAGGTAAACTAGAACTACGTTTCTTGTATAAAACCTCGCCAGCTGTGAAAAAGAAAGGGAAACTAGTCAAAGGGGAAAATATGATTAAAAAGATAAATGGATAAAAATTGTACAACAAAGAAAAAAAAACAGCGTCACCGAGAGTCGAACCTTGGCCTTCTTCTTTTGGAAAAGTCATTATTTTTTAAGCGTTGTCCTGTGAAATTCTGCCAATAGACGTTGTTATTTTAGTAGCTGGTGGGTGTAGCTTTAGCTATTATGAATTCAAAGATACATTAGAGGAAAACTAGCTTAAACTCATATTTCAAAGCTTTTTTGCACAATTTATTTTGGTCGCAGGATAAAAATTTTTAGGGGAAAAAATGGTGTATTTTTAGACATTTGCCCTCTTTTTCTACATTTCAGGACATTTTCCCGGACAAATCAACCAAAAGAAGGATTCTGTCACTAATCATCAAGTGTCCAAGTGAAGGTTGTGAATGGACCGGTGAGCTGAGGGATAAAGAGGTCAGGATCGGTACAGTGGTGATAAGATTAATTAACTGGAGGTTACCCCAGTTAACTGAACTTTTGGGTTTCAAAAATTCCCTTGTTCCCTCAAACAAAAATGAGGGTGATGCTTGGGTTATCCGTCAACCATCAAACAAAAGCCGTTTTGATTTTTGAGTTCCACCAACCCTCTCTTTCAAAACGAAGCCTAGTGCACAAGTTGGTGCAAAACCGGCCTGGTGCAATACCCTATATGTGAAAGGAGGAGAAAGGAAGATGAGCAACTCGGACGTGGCCTATTAATAGTCTACAAACGCACCCAAACAAGGGGTTCTTCTGGGGTTACCCCTGCCCAAATTATATAAACAACTGATTTCTCTCTATATTTGGGGTATGTGAACAACTTTACTTTATGGGTCCTTTATCAGTTAGTTCAGCCTTCTATACTAGTAAAATTCAGTTAGTTCTTGTTGTAATTAGAAAACATTGAAAAAAATTAAGTGACCAATACTTAGAAGCATTTGCCATCGCCGGTTGCTGTAGCTTGAACGATTTTGAAGAAAACAACGACAAAAAAAATAATAATGTTATAATAATCAAAATTTTCGCCGGCCTTTAACGCTGCCTCCAACCCACCCTCCATGTCAATACGTGTTAATACTCGGATATGTCCCGAAGTCTTTAAAAATGCTACTTTTTCCCCCTCGCTAATACCTTAAGCAATTTCGTCTAGAAGGCGTCTCTAAGAAAATGGGAGAGTCCCCTTTTATTTTCTAAGGGAAACGCAATTGGGGACAGGTTGGCAATGTAGTTGTATTATTGGGGCGAGCGCGTGAAAGGTGCTTGTTTGTATTCGTGACTCCGCGGCCACTAAAACAAAACGCCTGCAGTGAAGGCTACCTTACCTCCTAAGGGCGTACTGGCCGCGCAAAGATGACGTGCACAAGGAGAGAGTAAGCTGTCCTATTTCTTATGCGCTTACCCCGCACGCCGGTGCTTATGGTTCACGAAAGGGTTTAAAGGTCAAAGCCACTTTCGTAGTAAGCTATGGTAAGGGGACATCGTTCAGTTTAAAGGGAATGAATTTATTTTATCGAAATATTATTTCAACAGAAACACTTGGATTCTTGCCCTCTGAATATGGTTTCGTGCACCAACGAAAAATGTGAAGTAAAAGTGGCCAGAAAGGATCTGGCTGAACACGTCGCCAACACATGCGTATGGAAAATTTCCAAGTGTCATCATTGTAAAGAGCATGTTTCTCAGTGCCAGATGGAGGTAAAACCAAATTAGTTTTTATTAATAGTTTTCGAGAACCTTAATAACGCCCCCCCGCCCCCCCCCAAAATAACGTAAGGTGTTAATTGACACGACAATGAAATAAGCGCACCGTTTTCATGATAGATACCTCTTTAGTGATATCCTCTATAAGATCTTTACTAAATTAAAACAGGTTCTTTGGGGTTTGTTGTTTTAAGGGTATAGGTGAATATTTTATAACTCTATTCATAAAATAACTAAGATAGTACGCGCGCTATGATTGGCCGAGAGGCGTGTTTGCATGGGAGTATGTAAACATGGTTGTGACATCAAGATGTTTTGAATGTTTTGCTTTTCACGTACTAATCACGCAAGCACGAATTTGAAAAAGGTTTTGAGTTGAAAACCTCGACAAGTTTACTTTATTGAGCCATTTCCTCGTCGGCTGAAAGTTGGAAAATCTTTGCAAAACATGGTGTGTCAATTTTGAGCTGAGCTGACATTTTAAGCGAGAAAAAACCCGTATTTTGGAAAGCATCTTTTTGCAAAACTAGGACTGATTACGCGTACAAGCTTCGTGTACAAGACTTCGGTAAGAATTTGTCTTTTAATCAGTGCCCTAAACAAGAGAGTTTTGCTTTTTTTCTCGGGAAATTTATTTCATAAAAGCAATAGAAAACTTTTTACCTGTGTTTGCATATCCTGATATAAACACTCGAGGGGTTGGGAGCGTGTTTATATCAGGCTATGCAAACACGGAAAACGTTTGCTATTGCTTAAATAACATTTCACATCTGTTATGAATTAAGTCCAGCTGAAAAACGCTGCTTCGTAAGGTAAGTGACTGTATTATGCTGAGTGTTACAACTCTGTCTCAATAGTAGTCCACATTGTGAAGCTTCAACCTCCAGGCTGCATTTTTCAGGGGCACCCAACGGCAATTTTCGGGAAAATATCTCTTCGGAAGACAATTTGAGAACTAGAATTTTCGGAGCATTTGTTGTAAAATTTCTTGCTTGCCTGCCTCTCCTAGGATTTTGGAACATCTACAAAATGGTGTAATTGCCCATTTTAAACGGATATTTACCCTAAAAAAGGCCACCTAGAATTTTCGGGAGCCTTTTCCTGGCTGAAATTTTCGAAAAGGTAAATTTTGATCCCTATAATTTTCGGATCACTAGACTTTCAGCTAGGAAATCCGAACAGATGAAAAGTTTTTAGGGGATAAAAATATGCCTATATCTACCGTTTAAATACTAAAATACGTTCAACAATGCTATGTTAAGTGGTTTTGAACTATATCCTCGTTGGGTGCCCCTGATTTTTCCCCTCACCATTCACGGGGCTTGATTGTAATGTTAAGACCTGATTACACTCTTGGTCCTCTAATTCATCCTCAGCCTTTCGAATACATAATGTTTATGTCTCAAAATTCACTTCCTCCGCTATTTTCTTCATATTTTCATTTCTTATTCTTGGCAGGCACATCTAGAAAACTGCGAGGGTCTTGTAACAGAATGTCCAAACAACTGCGGGATTAAAATATTAAAGGAAAAGGTAAGACTGGTTACGATGTGTGCTTAGGTCACCCGATAATAAAATGTAAATGTAACTGGTTTTGCCCACGAAGCATTTGGGAGATCTCACAAGGACGAAAATGTTCGTGCATTCCAAATGGAAGTATCCGGAAAATAACCTCTCGGATTACTGCAGGGAAGAAAACCAGCATTAGTAAACTCAAGCCGTGGGCAGGGTGACACAGTTGTGAGAGCGTGAGAGCCTGAAAGCGCTCACTTCCTTGCAAATTTGCCTGGGTTCGAATCCCGGAAGCGACGCCATGTTGAGTTTGTTGCGCAGTGAAACCCCGCCTTAAGACTACCTTGGTGATACAGTCACCTCGATCGTTGTTACGGCCACTTTTTTTGGCCGCCTGGCAAAAAGGCCATACACAGTTTCTTGTAAAAAAATCCCTCGTTAATACGGTGACCCGTTAATACGGCCAAATTTGGTGACCGTATTAACGGTGTTCCACCGTATCTACTTCCACTGTATCTGCTTACACTGTATCTACTATACTACTAGTTCATTCTCTCCAAGTTTTTTAGGTCAAAATGGTTAGACAGCCTGTTTCATTCAAAACTTTCCCTTTCGTTTGTCGTTACCTGCACAGATCGCTTGCACGTGGAGGTGTGAAGGTGTTATAAAGTATTGTAGGGTAACTGGAAAATCCAAAACCTTATTAATAACTAAGTTATTGTGTTCCTACAAGGTCCCATACCACGTTAAAAATACATGTCCGCTGACTGAAGTTCCCTGCCCATATGATTGGATGGGCTGTACATGGAAGGTAATTTTTTTTATTATTAGAATATTTAAAATATTTTGTTGTGGAATGTTAGAATGGACACAGGCAGCATAGGGTTTTATTACTATTACATTTTTTTTTAAAATTTTTAGTCTCTGTAACAATTATCCTATTAGACAATATCTTTTTATAGTCCGATACTATGTAGTTTTTAACAGGTGAAGAGCCAATAGGTGGATACAATGGTAATAAACCATTATTATTATTATTATTATTATTATTATTATTATTATTAGGAACAGGGAAGTTGTGTAACGGTTTACGTCATTGTCTATAGTCAAAGAAAATAGCTTTGACTCCAGTTATTCCTCAGCAGCCCATCACCGTTAATAAGTTACTACTGAAAAGGAGGATAACGTTATCCACGGGATAAATATCTATCTATTGGATAGTAGCATTGGTCTCCCTCGTACTTATCCACTGCAGTAATTTATCCAGTCAGATCCAGTGGATATAGCATTATCCAGTGTTTCAACAACTGGGGTCTGAACCAGACAGGGTAGGAAAAACGCAGTGCTCTCCTCAGTCGTGGAGGTCGCAAAAGCACGACAACAATTTTTTTCTTCTTTCCTCTAAGCTTGGATAGAATTGGACGAGTTGCAAAAGAAACGTTAATGGTACACATGTAATCGACGTCTTGGATGTCCCCACCGTGATGGTTGCTTAAGACATCTCAAACTTGGTACTCCGATGATCTCTTGTTGATGGTGTTAATACAGCTATAGAGAAGTGTAATAGAACAGGATTTGGACGCTTTAAAAAAAATACACACACGCACAAACGCGTGACATTAATTTTGTTTGAGAAAACCTTCCGTCAAACTTCACCCTTCTTTAAACAGATCTTTTACTTTAAATGATCATAAAATATTAATGTGAAGTGAAGTTTACGACAACGCACACATTCCAAGTAATTTTTATAGCCTTGTCACGTTTGCAATGTACACACAAGCGTTTTGCCATCCTCTTCTCCTTTCTCGACGTCCTGTTGATAGTAACGACGACGGCGACGTCAACGAGTACGGCAAAAATGCAATAGGTTTAATTAGCAAAACAAAGACTTTGCACGTGCATCATGCTTTTTTGTACATTTTTTTACCGTCACTACGCGACTACGACCGGGTGAAAATGCCTATTTTCACGTCTAGTGGAGGACGTTAACACGAGACAACAACTTGCTTTTTCTTTTCCTGAACTTCGATACAGCCTCCAGGAAAAACTGCCAACATTTGGCGAATTGAACCAGAGGCATAAGCGCGACAAAGTTTGAAGCAACGCATCTTTACTTTTTAGGTGACGTTTTTGTAGCCGTCGCGGTCGTTGTTTCTTAAGCTCCCTCATAACAGAGTTCTTATGGAAAACTTATTTTGCCATAGTTATACGTTTGTTTCGAAGCGCTTTTCCTATTCTGGTTATAAGCCCCCTCCCTTTATAAGCTTTCCTACCTGATCGTTACGTTAGGATGTATTATTAACCGCATCTACAGTGAATTCGTTGATGTCTGAGAAAGGCCGATTTTTATGCTGATATTTCAGGTCCAGAGAGAAGTGCTTGAATCACATATCCAGTGTGAAACCAGCCATCATCTTAATTTGAGTTGTTGTAAGTTAAACGGCACTCAGGATGAACTGAGAAAACTTCAAACTAAAGTGAGGAAACTTGTGGAGAGAGAAAACATCCGCCACAATGAAATTGAAGAAAGAGTGCAGGCCCGCCAAAATCATTTGGAAGAAAGAGTACAGGCCCTTGAAAATCATTTTGAAGAGAGAGTTAACGTGCTAACAGATATCAATCATAAATTAAAGGGAGATCTGAATACCACTCGCATTGCACTCTTATTTTGCTCTGCCGTTTTTATCGTTATTATTGCTGTGTTGCTTGGCCGTTTGGAAACAAAGCTCGAAGAGCAAATTAATGGCGTGCGAAACAAGCTTACAAGGAAAGTGGGTGAAGTAGAAAAGATTCTGGAATTTAAAGTGACTGATGTACGTGGACAGCTGATGAAGGATTTGAATAAAGTTAAGAAAAGTCTGACAGTTAAAGTCGAAGATCTTGAAAAGAGCGTAAGTAGCATGTATGTAATCAACTAAAAATAACTTGATGAAGGTCAGTTAAACGACAGAACTGTCAGAATTGACTTTTTAAAAAATGCTACTGAATGCAAATGAATGCCAAAATGAAGGATTAAAAAACATCCTATTTAAACACAAACAACGAAAATACTGTGTCAAAAATACCGTAAAATTCCGAAAATGAGCCCTTTCATGTATAAGCCCCTTAAGACCTCCAAATTGGTTAATAACGCAAAAAACCCTCCGTTAACTCACCCCTCCGAACATAATCTCCCCGGGCTTATACTTGGAAATTGTGGCCTCAAATGCAAAATAAAATAAAGCAAAACGGTACAGTAACACATAGCGTATGGGGCCGTCTGTACATAGGCTTAGGAACACCGATTTTTTTCTTTGCCATACTAATTGCGTGTGCCAATTGACACTGTTGAAGCGCCATAGATTCCGAACTGTTGGTGACAAGTCTGGACTTTTGTTAAGATTCATTTTTTCGTGTGAACAGTGTTATATACCTTATTATTGACGTTCATTACCTTTAACTGGGTATTTCGTTTTCAATAAAGTAATTTGCGGTTGTGTTTTAAGCATTGCTGACTTTTTGAAAGATCTACACTCATCCTCTCGGCCGATAACAGTGGCCTACGCGCGAGACCTGCTTAATTCTTTACATCATACTCAGCCTCGTTCATTAATTGTAATCACTCGTTACCAATTTTTCTTCCTTTTTATTGGCCGAAAGCCTACCACGTGACCTGCAAATAACTGCCTGCAAATAATGGTCTGTTCATTCGCAGTGTCGTCCAACTTTGTTTGGCTGCAAATAATTAGCAATTATTGGACGAGGTTAAGCAAAATATCGTGATTTGTCTGTGGCGAGCAGATCAATTATTTGCCGAAGCCGAAGGCTGAGGAAAATAATTGATCTGCGAGACACTGACAAATCACGACATTTTGCGATAACCGAGTTCAATAATTGTTTTATCATTCGATCACTGAGTTTGTTTTTTAATAAATAATTTCTTCGGAAAGCGGTTAGCGCGCGCTGCCTTCCAGGAGTAATTACAGAGATCAAATGGGTTCCTTCTCATTTCAATAATTTAGTCTTTCGGCTTTAACTTGTAAATACAGTTGACCGTTCCATAACAAAATGTATCCATCAATTAAACTCATGAAGAATTTTAAGAACAAGTTAACAGTCTTCAAGAACTTGAAATCCGAAAAAAGGTAAAATATATTCATTCAATAATGAGTAGCATCAACACGCTGGATGAAAATGTACTTTTAAGACTAAAAGTTAAAAGTGCAGTTGCAAAAATTGTTAGCTGTCTGAATCCATCAATTAAACTCATGAAGGATTTTAAGAACAAGTTAACAGTCTTCAAGAACTTGAAATCCGAAAAAAGGTAAAATATATTCATTCAATAATGAGTAGCATCAACACGCTGGCTGAAAATGTACTTTTAAGACTAAAAGTTAAAAGTGCAGTTGCAAAAATTGTTAGCTGTCTGCTGTGTTTTAGATTGTCCATACTTAGCTCGTTAAGAATGAGCTCTTCTTGAGAGGCTGCGAGAAGTGGTTGCAGTGCACTCTCTGCGGCAGGAATCTCGCTATGGTTTACGGTCTTCTTATTGTTCAGTGATTCGGCTAATGTCTCCGACATTTTCCTCTTCGTGCTCAAGCTTGTTTGGGAAGAATAACTCCTGATATTACTTTCATTCCTGTGACCTGACACTGCCATTATTTGCCGGGCTTCGTATCCTTCGTATTAGGATCGAGTAAACATGCCAAATCGCTCTCTGCCAAGTCGGCGAAGCGATCTGCCATGATCGCAAGAAGGAGCAAGCGTGGTTTCATTTACGCATAAGCAGAATAGTATTTGCAGCCAAAAACAGTTGAAATACATTGCGCATGAGCACACCATTATTTGTAGGCAGTTATTTGCAGGTCTCGTGGTCGGCTCTCCGCCAATAAAAAGGAAGAAACATTTGCATCGGATGATAATATATATTCTGCTCATGCATAAATGAAACCAGGCTTTTCTCTTTCTTGCGATGGCTCTTGCGTGAAAATTTCCAGATCGCTTCGCTTCCCGAAGATATTGCTTAAAAATCAAACTCAGTGATCGAATGATAAAACAATTATTGATCTCAGTTATCGCAAAATGTCGGAATTTGTCAGTGTCTCGCAGATCAATTCGGCTTCGGTAAACAACTGATCTGCTCGCCATGAAAAATGACGATATTTTTGCTCAACCTCGTCCAATGATTATTAAGTATTCGAAGCCATTTTGTATAATTAAGGGCTAGATTTGTTAATTATTTCGTACATCATAGACGTTGTGTTTGAACTTCAGATTCAAAGAAGGGAGGTTGAGAAGCATTCAGAAGAAAACTGTAATCCTTTTACGTGGAAGATAACCAGCTATGGTGAAGCCTTGAGAAAAGCCAAAAGTGGAAAGGAAATTATTTTGAACAGTTCTACATTTTACAGTTGTGGATATAAATACAAGTTATTATTCTGTCCAAATGGTAATGGCGAAGGAGAAAACACCCACCTGTCCTTTTTCTTAGTAATAATGAAAGGTGAATACGATGCCATGTTAACCTGGCCTTTCCATAAAATGGTAACAATGACGTTGATTGATCAACAGGAGAAAGCGAAAGACAGGGAGAACATTGCAATGTCCCTTATAACAATTGATTCCCCAGAGTCCTATGAGAGGCCTGTAAACGATGAAAACGATGCGAGAGGCTTTCGTCAATTTGTATCTCACGAAAAACTGCAAGAGAGGCGCTACATTGTGGACGACACTATATTCATTCAGATTCGCATCACTTCATCGGGATAGCTGTGACTTTCCAACTAAAATTCTTACTTTCTCTTTATCTTATTACCGTGCACAATGCCCGTTTTATGCATCAAAAACAACCAAAATATCAATATAACGCACAGGTTTTTTCCAGGTCTTCATCCTATATTCATTCAGTTTAAGTAAACTGAAGATCTGTACTTAATTTTAACGTCTGTTTTGTAGCCTCTCAAGATGATCTAGACCACACCATCGTTAATTCAAATTAAATCGCTTCCTTTGGAAAGTGTTTTCAGCTGTAAGATTCCTGAGAATGGAGTAAGGCGCCAACATGGCTGCCAGTGCTCGAAGTGCTCTAAGTTTTCTTTCAATTTATGTGCTCCAGTATGTTTGGTTTGCTTTAAGAACCACTCAGGATCATTCGTTAAACGATATGCTTTCTCCTGTGGTTCTACGAATTAGGATTCCTGATCGTGATGTCAATTTCTTGGCCGTTCGATTTCAGCGCGGTTTAACACGATTGTTGCTTACCCCGAACGGTCATCACAAACTACGAGTTGCTGCTATAAATTGGGGGAAGCGTGGAAATACGACTCTTGCTGTTCCTGGTCATGATCCTCCAGTTGAGATCACTATTTTTATTGATGTTGAAATTAATCCGGGACCAGATTCAAGTCAGTATGATTATGGTGAGCGATCTAATGTTGAGTATCACTTGATGGCTGACTTGTCAAGATCAACGTTAACTTTACAGTATTCTCGTCATCAACTACTGGAATATCAACAGAATTACTGTTTCCCTACGTTTACAACCCTCTTTATTCTCAAGCAATGCGGCATTTTTTAAATTTAGAGGTCGAAGAGGAGGTCGGAATCGAAGAATCTAACGCTATGGAAATTTATCCTTCCCTTTTCGTTCACGCCCGTTGTCTTGCCGAGGTGTGAATCTGCATAATTTAACCTAAGTTGAAAGGAGAAAGGACTCAGCTGTTGTTCAAGAATCTTCATTTTCACCTCTGGTGTTATGTTCAGTAAATGTTCGCTCAGTTAAATCGAAGTCGGCTGACCTTTTGGATTATATCTATACATCAGGGGCTGATCTGTTTGCTTTCACCGAGACATGGCTTACTGCTAATTACACTGCGGCAAAACTGGAGTTTATTCCATCTCAAACACACAAGTTTCTACACCATAATTGGTCTGGCCGCAAGGGTGGTGGTACGGGTTTGCTGTTCAGAGAAAACATTGATGTGTCGAAAATTGATGCGGGTGAGAAAACCTCTTTCGAGTTCTCGGAATGGAGCTTAAATACCAACTCGTTTCGCGCTAGGTTGTCAATTATCTATCGTCCACCCTAATCTAATCTACATCCGGTGTCTCTGAAAACGTTTTTTGATGACTTTGCTTCATACATGGAGAGTATCATTCTAACACCAGAATCGCTTATCATTACGGGTGACTTTAATATCCATGTTAATAATACGAACGATTCTGATGCTTGTGAATTTTTGGATTTGCTGGTGTCGCTTGGCCTAAAACAACATGTCATTGGTCCTACCCACGAGGGTGGCCACACCCTGGACTTGGTGATCACCAGGCAATATGATCAGGTTATTAAGTCTGCCCCGATGATTGATCGGTTTATCTCTGACCATGCCGCAGTACTGTGTCAACTTGATTCAGTGAAACCCTGTACAGCTGTTAAGGAAATCAGTTACAGGCAGCTAAAATCTATTGACATGGATGCACTCAGAGCTGATTTAACGACGTCTGAATTGTGTACCAATGTTTTTACGGATTTGGATATGATGGTCTCCTGCTACAACTCCACACTGTCGTCGTTACTTGATAAATATGCCCCTCTGAGAACTAAGTCTGTTGCTAACAGGAAGCGTGTGCCTTGGTTTAACCACAAAATTAAGGATGCTATTAAGGCTAGGCGGAGAGCTGACAGGAAATGGCGCTATTCTAAATCTGCACGGGATCTAAGTGTTTTCAAAAAGAAGAAAAACCATATCATGCAATATACTTGATGAACCAAGCTCGCTGTGATTATTACACCAATCATATCCAGCAAAACAGTTCTGATCAGAGAAAACTGTTTAACGTTACAAAGTCCCTGTTGTGTGATACCAACACTGCATCGTTTCCTCGTGTTGACACTGTTCAGCTTGCTAATGACTTTGGAAATTTCTTTGCACAGAAGATTGAGAATATAAACGCGTCTTTGGCTAATTTATCTACACCATCCGTACCATCTCTACCTGCTACTGACATTACTTGCCTGAAAGAACGGTTTACCGGTTTCAGGACTCTCTCTTAAGAACAAGTGTGCGTGTTGATTAGTAGAGCAGCGGGTAGATCTTGTCAACTCGACCCCATTCCCACTCCGATTGTTCTCAAGTTGCTGGATGTTCTATTGCCTGTTATCACTAAGCTGATCAGCCTCTCCTTTGACACCGGTCGATTCGCTGAGGCTTGGAAAGAGGCGCTTGTGTTACCATCTCTCAAGAAGCCTCGTTTGGAGTTTGCGTTCAAAAATTTCCGTCCAGTCAGTAACCTCTCTTATATTTCTAAATTGTCGGAGAGAGCTGGGGCGGAGCAGTTTATGGAGCATCTGACTGCCAACAATTTACATTCTCAGCTTCAATCGGCATATAAACAGCAACACAGCACTGAGACGGCTTTACTTAAAGTTAAGAATGATATTTTGATGTGTATGGATGAGCAACATGTCACCTTGCTTGTATTATTAGATTTAAGTGCAGCTTTTGACACGATACATCATGATAAGCTGATTGGTCGTCTTGAGTCTGATTTGGGAATAACTGACAATGCGCTTGCCTGGTTTAAATCGTATCTATCTGACCGGTTCCAGCGTGTCTCTGTTAATGGTAGTCTCTCAGATCAGTTTCCTTTAAAACAAGGTGTTACTCAAGGATCATGTTTGGGCCCCTTGCTTTTCACTATCTACACGCACAAACTGTTTCAGATCGTTGAACGCCACCTCCCACAAGTTCACTGCTACGCGGACGATACACAGTTGTATGTATCATTCAGCCCCAATCAATCTGCGAATGCTGAGTTTGCTATCAAGTCCATGATTGACTTTATCAGTGACATTAGGAGTTGGATGATTTCAGATAATCTTATGTTAAACGGTGATAAAACAGAATTTTTAATTATAGGTACTTGGCAGCAGCTGGCCAAGGTTAACATCAATTGCATTAAGGTTGGGTCGACTGATTTTTGTCCTGTAACAGTAGCTAGAAACCTAGGCTCATGGTTTGATGAGCAGCTCACTATGTCAACTCATATTAGCAAGTTATATGGTGTTGCCTTTTATCATTTGCATAATATCAAACGCATTCGCAAGTATTTGTCTCGAGAATCAACGGAAATGCTTGTCCATGCATTTATTACATCTCGTGTTGATTATTGTAACAGTCTTTTGTATGGGCTGCCCAACTACCATGCAGCTTAACAAATTGCAGAGAGTTTTGAATGCCTCAGCCAGGCTAGTTTGTAATGCCCCTAGATTTTGCCACATCTCACCCATTCTTCGTGGTCTGCATTAGCTTCCTGTTAAAGCCCGGATAGAATTTAAGATACTGCTTATTACGTTCAAAGCAATTCACGGCCTTGCTCCTAAATATCTATGCGATTTACTAACATTTAAATCGTCCTTATATAACCTTAGATCTTCAGATAGTATTTTACTTTCTATGCCAGCTGTTCGATCGAAGACGTTAGGTGATAGAGCTTTTATGGTAGCAGCGCCAAGGCTTTGGAACTCTCTTCCAAAAGAACTTCGTGCGATTACTAATGTGAACAGTTTTAAGGCGCATATTAAGACTTATCTTTTTAAAACTTTATATTGGTGAGCAATTTTATAATCAGTCCTTACTTGCATGCATATATATTCTTTTTATTTTTTATTTTATAATGCATTATCTTTCATTTGTTTCTTGTAAAGTAATACAGTTGTAATGCGCAGCTGATCATTCTCATGTTAAGCTGCGCACAATAAGTTCATAAATTATTATCATATATCCCACTTCGTTTGTTTAACGCTCACATATATCTGCTCTCGCATAATGATGAGTTTTGATACGTTTACGTTTAATACGTTTACGTTTACGTTTAATTAATCAATTCCTGGAAGAAAAAAATACACAAGAACAGCCAAAGCCGGGGGCTTAAATGGCCTGAGGTCAGCAAAAAAAAGACGTGAAGAATTTACAGGAATAGAAGAAGGCTTTAACTAAAATAATTACAATACAATTAGATCAAGAAAGAAAAGGTCAGTTAGAAAAACTTAGAACTAAAATACAATACTTGGCAACTAATGTCAAATATTTGAACAACTAATAATTCCTATAAACCACACAAACAACTACAAACAAATACACCTAGTATAGTCCCATAAGGTGTACAGATTATGCGTAGGCTAATTAACTACTCAGAAAAATACAGTCTTAAGTTTTTTTTAAAGTTACTTACTGTGAGATTATTGCGCACAGTTAACGGAATATCATTCCAAATAATAGGAGCTTGCCAAGTGATAGCAAATTGGTACTTATGACAGGTTTTATGCAGATTAAAACGTGAACGAGTCATATAATCGTGATATTCAGAATTAAAATGAAGGATCGAGGAAACAGGAGTAGGTAAAAGGCTATTAAAATGTGAGAATACAAAACAAGCAACATGGAATTTATAGATAGAGTAGAGTGAAAGAATATTATGCTTAGAAAAAAGGGGCTTAGAGGATGTGCGCGGAGGAGAAAAAGTAATTACACGAACAGCTTTCTTTTGAAGTACATAAAGGGGTTTAAGGTAAGAAGCATAAGTAGATGCCCATATTAAACTGCAATAATTGATGTAAGGTAAGAAAAGAGAATTATATAAAGTTTTCAAAGTATTCAAGGGTAAGTATCGCCTCGACTTGCATAAGACTCCTATTACTTTAGAGACTTTATCACAGACAGCAGAGATATGCGGTTTCCAAGATAAATTTTTATGAATGATAATCCCAAGAAATTTGTCTTCCTGCACATGTGTGATGAGAGAATTATTTATAAATATGTTTATATCTGAGGAGTTAATTTGTTTACGTCGCGGGTGAAAAATGATGAATTTAGACTCGGCAGGATGAACAGTGAGTTTGTTAGCATTAAACCAAGAAGAGACATGAGAGAGCTCTACATTGAGAATGGTTGCTAAGGTAGCCAGGTCATTATGACGAAGAAAGATATTTGTATCATCAGCAAAGAGAATGATAGACAAGAGATTGGAGACATGAAAAAGATCATTGATGTATAAAAGAAAAAGTAAAGGTCCAAGAACTGAACCCTGGGGAACCCCACAAACGACCGAATTAAATGAAGAGGTATGGTCATGGACCATGACACACTGCTGTCTGTGAGACAAATAGCTAGTCAGCCAGATTAATGCGATACCTCTAATGCCATAAAAATTTAGTTTATCCAGAAGTATTTTCATGGTTGACTGTATCAAATGCCTTCTTAAGATCAATGAAGACTCCAGCAGTGTACTGATTGTTTTCAAAACTTTCATAGATATTGTTGACAAGTTCTAAGATAGCCATAGCAGTAGAGTGATGTGGTCTAAAGCCATACTGATGATGATTAAGGATATTAAACTTAGTGAGAAATCCTGATAACCTGAGGTAAAAAAGTTTCTCGAAGACCTTAGAAAGACAGGGGAGAATAGAAATAGGCCGATAGTTTGAGAACAAAGAAGGGTCATCACTTTTAAAAACTGGGACAATCTTTGCAATTTTGAGTTTATCAGGAAAGACACCACGCTCAAATGATAGATTGCAAATATGAGATAAAGGAACAGCAAGTAAATCTATTGTTTCTTTGATGGGAGATATAGAAAGACCATCAACACCCTCACATTTGCTATTTTTTATACTA